GAGGGGAGGGGAGGGGAGGAGAGGGGAGGGGAGGGGGAAGAAGGGACACCTGTTTGTGGATAAATTCGTACGGGCATCACAAACCTGCACGGAGGTTTGACCAAGGAGCGTCTAACTTCAGAGGGAACTAGCCTAAACCGCTGGGGCTTAGATGCCAAGTCTGGAAGGTCAGAAGCTCCTGGAAGCCATGGCTGAAGCTGGCCTGCAGGCCCCGTTTGTCCAGGCTTTACAGACATCGTGACCTGTTTGTATATGGTGTGGTGTCACACTGGTCTTCTGTCAGAGTATCAGTCATTGTTATGGGAACAGAAGGATGAGAATGCTGAAGATGGATGGAGGATGCCCTGACAATGCCCAAAACTTAATAGACTTGGTAAAGCAACAACGCCCGGCCCCGACAGAGCCCAGGAGATGTAATTTCCCACTACAGCCGTACATGCTAAATACTGTGTTTGCAGACAAACCTTAACATCTCCCCAGAGTTCTCAGCCTGCCTATTACTAGTCAAGAGAACTTGAAGGCACAGGAAGTTGGTTCTTCAAATCCAACCAGGTGAAAAACTCACCTCTTTGCAATTCTCAGAGTTGGAGAAATGGATGAGATCGTCGTTATACATCTCCTGGGTGTTGATGATATCGCTGTATTCCTTCTGGCTAAGATCCTCGGGGTTTATGCCATTGGCTCTGAGGAACTCTTGGTAGGCCACGCTGAAGGCTTGGCCAATAGACTGGGCGATCAGCTGAGCCTACGGAAGAAGCAGTGGGGGAAGCGATGAGCATCACCCGGGTCTGCCTGCCCAATGCGCACTGTACCTGTGCAAGGACCTGGTCTTGGGGCAGGTGACCCTAACGCTCCACCCCAACCACGTATGCAAAGTAGGGAGCATGTCTTGCTTTTTTGCCTCTGCAGAACTGGGACAGGTTTGGATGGAAGGGCTGTATCTCTGCTTTCCTCAGCCTCCTGATCTGTTGGACTCCTTCACCCATCATTCCCATGGTGGGGAGCATGAGAAGAGAGCAGTCAAGGGTAAGTTTCCTGATGAAGCCAGCTTTCCTTCAAAACATCCTTCAATTGTCCCCATTTGGGGTGCAGTCCTTGTTTTGGGGTGCCTATTCCTATGAAACCTATTTTGCACACTGTACAGAGGAAACAGACAGAACGAACTTTGGCATGGACAAGACTTTCCAGCTCCTACTGAGATCTGACCTGCTGACAACTCCAAATGCAAAAGTGAATATTTCTAGTTATTTCTGTTGCCTAATTGTCGAACCTCTTGGGGAAGTTTACAAGTAAAAGTACATTAAAAATAAAACCTCGTATATTCTTTGAGCTTGTGATCACATTCGAAATGCATTTCCAAGAAAAATGTGCACGTTAAAAATGCATTTGGAACTAAAATTTGCATTGTTGCAGTTGGTTCGATGGGGCAGTGGGGAAATGACCCCATATAAAAATGCTCACCCAAATGCACACGTCTCTATTAGGGGAACAGAAGTCCCTGTATTAGGGAATGGAAATGGAACAGGCCCCCTCGTTTGCATCACTGTGCCCCCTTCAGCCAAAAAGGGTGTTTGGGCCCAGAGACAATTGAGCAAATAAAACATTGGCACGGTAGGACAGGTCAACCTTCACCGTCAAGACCAGCGGCTTCAGTACTTGTATGGAAAGAGGCACCGGGGGTACCAAAGTCTTCCTTTCAGTGGCTGCAGCCTCTGGCTGCTGCTGTGCCAAGAGGCACCCGTTGCCACAAAGTCAATAAATGCAAGGGGAACATGGAGAGCCGCTCCACAGCCATGGGTCCCCGGTCGAAGTCAGATACGACCACACTCCACAAGGGAAACAGCTGCTCTGAATTGTGCGGTGGGGAGAGGAGAGCAGAGAAACTGGAGCGAGAGCCCAGTTAATGGGAATGGAAGAGCAAAAGCATTTAATTTCTTTCTTCGAAGGAATTAAACAGGCAACGCTTCCACCATGCACAATCCCTACGCAATGCATTTCTGCAGATGCTGTTTACTTACATCCTCCGATTCGAAGACGTGGCAGATCATCTTGTACTGCTTCTTCCCTTCTTGTGCCCCCGGAGTTGTCTCAATGCAGTCCTGGGAAGCCGAACGGGGCATTCGGCGCCTCGCCATCAAAACAACAATATTGCCGATGTCGGCAATGTAGGAGATGGTGCGCAGCGCGTGGTCCATCATGGTTTCCTGGAGTAATTGGTGTGCCAAAGCAATTAGTGCATGCCCCCCCACCAGCAAAACTGCACATGTGGCTTCTGCGATGCATATTTCTTTTTAAAATTATGCAAAATAAAAAGTCTGTGCCAGAAGAGCTAACCGCCGCCTTCGGGCGGAATGAGCTCCTTCTTTCCGATCTGCATATTTTAGCTTAAACCTCTTCCTGTCAGCCACTAAGCATTTCATCCTTTTAAAATGACAAGACAAGTCTGCAAAAACCAAATGGTTTGTGGGCCCGAAGTTGTGCACCCATGTTCTATTCGGTATGATTGCCACAACTGTACAACACATCCATTGTTAGAAACACACAGCCAAAATTTAGGTTAAAAAAAAGGACACCTCACCCTAATATTTACATTTAACTAAAGGGAAATGTAGAAATCCTAGATGCAAGGCGCATTCTAAAGCCATTTGGTTTAAGCTCCTAATTAAATGCAGTATTTCAAAAGTGTCCGGTGTTACAGCACACCAATTGCTGTTAATATGAAGAGTCTTTCACTGAGCACAGGACCTTTCTGAAGTTTAAAATCACAGGGGTCAGGAAGGTTTTTGCAAGCGAACCGATGGATCAGCTAAATGGCTCAAAGCAACTCACAAATTTATGCAGACTTAGGAATAAGAGGCATTTGTGAGGCTAATTAAGGGAGAAAATGGGAATTATTGATAAGGTGAGTGGGAGAGTTTAAGCTGCACATGCTGAAGTCATTATACTCCATAACAAATTTCTTCCGGCGAGGAAAGAAAATGGCTGCCAGCAAAATTCACATAGAAATGAGGGTTTAGAGGACAGAAAATTAAAAGCACATCTGCACCAAAGGTCTCCCTTTCGGTTCTCTAAGTCCGCATGGGTCAAGCAAATATCCATCTGCAGAGCGAAAAGTCATAGGTTAGGAGTGGACTGAAAACAGCCATTAAAGCCATTCTGCAAAGGCCTCTGTGTCTGCACGGAAGTCTGACTGGTTGCTTCATCCTGCCGTGGTTCTCCAGGCTTCTGATGCGTCAGAGGCTGGGCAGGGGCATCTTCTTCAGAGGCAGGCCATGCTTCTCAAGCAAAGCTCTTACAGGAAGCGTTTTAGCAGCCCTGCTATGGAGTGGAAGATGGCTTCTGTGAGCAGGAGGACACCTCGGGGCCCCATCCATGTTTCCGTCCTCTCCCATCTCGTATCCTCCAGAAGGCAGCAGGTAAGGAAGGGTTCCCTATTTCAACCTGTCCCCAGGGGACTGAGACAGCATCCTGGGGGAACAGCTCTGAGATAACCATTCCCAGAGATCAACTGCACATCCGATCGGTGGTTCCTGGACCAGGTTCTTCTATTGGGGCTCTGCTTGGCCGTTGCTTCACAATAGTCCTTAAGCTTTCCATCGCTATTTTATTTATTTCAGGTTTTTGTATGCTGTCCCATTAGTAAAAAAGTCTCTGGGTAGCTTATAGAGAGCAAACCAAAAACCAGAACCCATAACAACAATAACATACATCTTGGAAAGGAAAGGACAACGCATCTAAAATAGTGATAAAAACAGGGCTAAAACCAGTTAACTGTTAAAATACTGGGGAAATAAAAAGGTTTTCACCTGGCGCCAAAAGGAGCAGAGTGCCGGCGCCAGGCAGACCTCCCTGAGGCACGTATTCCACAGTCGGGGCGCCACCACTGAAAAGGCCCTTCTCCGAGTGACTACCCTCCTGATTTCCTTCAAAGAGGGTTCCCGGAGAAGAGCAGGGCCTCTGCCTCCGATCTCAAGGGCAGACCAGCACATGGGGAAGAAGGCGCTCCTTCAGGCAGCTATGAGCATGTGCTGGAAAACCAGCTGCAGTACAATCAGGCACCACTAGAGAGACAGGTGCACGGAGGAGTACTTTGGAAGGGCCGGACTATGAGCATAGTGGGCTTGGGCTATTAAATGTAACACGTGAATGAAGGTGTCCATTTGCAAGCTGCCACTGTGGTGGGAGAGCCACGATGCACCGAAGGGGAGCTTCCGTATCCCACACGAAAGGACTTTCTCCGAGCACGGACTGCCGCGCCAACTGGGCCCATTCCACTGGATGCGAGAATATTTGGATTGGCGGAATCTCCCAGCTGCAGCCTGACCTCTAGAAGAGTCTTATACTCTTTGCTGGAAAGTGAGGTGAGCCTTCAGGCAAGCAGGGAGCGAACTGCACGGGGCTCCATTGTGGTCTGGAGAATTAATGCATTTGGTTTCGTCCCTGGCTCTTAAATCTCGCATTTGGCCACGGCTGCTCAGACACAAAGGAACCAGCTCTCGTTCCCCGATCCCCTCTGTGGCTCCCCCTTCAAATGGACTTTTATTATCGTGTGGAGATTGAATGCAACTTGGGAACGCATTTGCTGCAGCAGTGAGTAGATCCTGTAAGTGTTTCCCATATTATTAAGCACCAACAACAGGTCTGAGGCTGCTTGGCAGCTCCAGCCTGGCCTTTAACACAGGAAGTACCCATAGCAGAGGGCAGGCTAACTTGCAATGGGTTAAGCTGTCAGGCCTACGTGGATGAATTCATTTAAAATGCAGCTACTGCTACCAAGATTAAAAATGGGCAGTGTCAAGTTTCAATCAGCCAGCTAGCAGCCTGAAGAAAGACATTAATATTGGTGGTGGAGAAATCCATGCCCATTGGCATGCCACCCCTCTCGAACTTAAGTCCAAGATCATTTTCAACAGCAACAACCACAATGAATAGATGCGTCTGAACGGACTGCTTGCAGAAGCCTTAAAAAAAATTGGCCAAGGGAGGTAGGTTACTTACTCAAGCCGCAAAAGCTCATTTGTACACTTTGGAAGGCTTACTTGTGTATCTGCATTCAAAACTTTGATCCTCTGTGTGGAGATGAACAGATCGACTTCAGTCAAGGCCTGGGAATCTCCCTCAGAGCTCTAATGAAAGGAAAAGGAAAGAACAAACAGGCAATGGAAAGATTGCGGCGGCTACGACGTCAACTCCTTCTCAACAGAACGACCACACTGCACAAGTCATGGCAACAAAGAACAGCCGTCCAGAATGGTTCATTCCCAAAATTAATGCAAAAGGATCATTCTTTGAGTCTAGTTCATCGAATGAGTCTTAAGAAAAAGATTTCAAGTATTGACGTCTCCCGTGATGGGCCAGTAAAGGGCCGCCGATTGACTTGTCAATAGAAACTTTAGTTTTACGAGTTTTCAATCCTCAATAACCAAAGATAGCAGTGAGAGGCAGAACAAACTCAAAATCGAGTCCGAGTATTACTTTTTTTAGGCTTCAGCAAAACACCACCCAAAGTCTAGCCTTTCAATCCTTCAACCTGTTTCCCTACCTCAACCCCTGCTCTTTGCAAGATCTAGCTGATGAGAATTCTGGAGAATTCAAAAGGGCTCTGGCATGTTGCTTGGTCCTAATGCATTGATTGACTGATTAAATCTGAATGTTGGATTTTATTTCTTAATAACAATTTCCAGGGGACAGCTGCATTGTTCTGGTGCGGCTACAACAATGAAGAGTCTGGTGGAATCTGAAAAATCAACACACTTGTTATATAGCTGATGAAGTGTGTGAGTGTGTTTGGTGTTGGCATGGAAGGCATATATGGGGACTCGGCTGGCCAGGATTTCACACTGGAGAACCAGTCATCACTTCTCAGAAGTAAAAGAAGAAAGGTTGAGCCAGACAACCTGTGCAATTCATTGTCAAAAGGTAACTCTATGCAAAAGAAACCTGCTGGTTAAATGGTGATAATGCTGAATTCAAACATGCCAAGGAAGTGGATTATGGGGGCTCCAGTGTGGTAGGGTGGGCAGTCACGCTAAGGAACTAGGGAGCTGCCCATCGGCTGAAGATATTGTGTGTGTGTTGGGGGAGGTGGGGAGAGCACTATGGATCCCACACAGCTGGGATCGTAAACAGTGGCCTCTGTTGGCCAGTTGGTTGGTGGATCTCACATTGGCTGGTCCTTTCTTGACTAGCAGGAGTTCTCCAAAGGCTTTGGGAAAAGATGTACAAAATCCATGCCGCCAATCTAGGAATGTTTGGCTTAGGATTCTACCTGGGTTAGGGGTGGGGTTGGGAAAAGTTGGGCTCCTCCACCTGTCCAATGGCCTGGAACTCACTCAGAAATGTGAGAAAAGGTGAGCTGCCAAATAAACATTGCTCTTCTGGGAGAGGTGGAATATCATGAAAAGCATGGTGACATATTGGCATTTTTTGGCTTAGGACAGTGATGGCGAACCTATGGCACACCTTTTTCAAAATCACATTCTTTGGAATGGGACTTTACCCCTATATTAGGGTTAGGGGTGTGCACCAGGGTAGGGTTAGGGTTAGAAAAATGAGGTGTCCTGGCATGATTTTGATGGCTGGAATGTGTTTAGAAGGGGCAGAAAAGCTGAGCTGTGCAGAAAAAGCTCCTCAAGGAAGGCTTTTTCAAAATTGCATTATTTTCAATGGCACTTTAGCACTGTAATAGGGTTGTGGGGGGGCGTGCACCAGGGCAGGGTTAAGTTTAGAAAAACGATGTGCCCTGGCATGATTTTGATGGCGGGAATGTGCTTAGAATGGGCAGAAAAGATGAGCTGTGCAGAAAAAGCTCCTCAAGGAAGGCTTTCTCAAAATCGCATTCTTTTCAGTGGAACTTTACCCCTATATTAGGGTTAGGGGTGTGCACCAGGGTAGGGTTAGGGTTAGAAAAACGAGCTGTCCTGCCATCGTTCTGATTTTGTCCTCCGTGTGCTTCGCCTAATTATACACGCAACTCTAGCAGTGTCTTCATGAAGCATCATTTTAGGGTCACCCCAGGCATTAGCACTGTGTGTCCTCCAGCCTTTTCCACCATGTTGTAAGGTCTCTTCTCACATCCTGGTGAAGATGTCAAGCTGTTTGGCATCCACAGCAGCTAGAAATTTTTCTTGTATTATCTATTTGGCCATTACATCGAAATCCACATCTCTTTGCAAAACATTTGGATCATGCCACTGAATTTGCTTCTAATGGGATCAAGAATTCATGCGAGGCACCTTACTGTTTTCAAGTATGTTTTCTCACTTCAGTAAAGACAAAAATAAAGTTTTGCATGCAAAATGAAATATGCACCCCACGGTCATCCTGGGAACACATAATTTAATGCGACAATAACAGCACACAGGTATTACAAGATCTGACTATTGGCTTCCAACGTCAGCTGTGGCCCCTTCTCCTGATAACATCAGCAGGGATATTAGACAGAAACACGCTTTTGAAGGAGAAAACTGTTTAACTAGGCTTAGCCTACACACAAAAAGCCACTCCAAAAATAGACAGACAAAAACACACCAGTATGTTGAAATAATTCTGGTAGTGGAGGGGAAAGGAGAAACCCCAGTGGGAAATGGAATGTATTCTAATGAAACTGACCAATCTCTTTCACCCCATCCAGCCATATAGACTTTAAAAGGGTCAAACGCCCCCACCCCCCGCAAATTGCAGCTTCACAGAAATCCACAATGAGAGGCACAGCAGTTCAGGATGCACAAGGACAAACAAAACACACAAAAACATAAAACAGACATTAGCATTCAAGAAAAAGTCTACACACCGCTTTTTTCTTGATTTTAGCTGCCTTTTGCATCCTCTGGGGGAGAAGCATTAAAAAAATCAACAAATTAAATAAAAGGGAACAGACAAATGTACAAAAAGAAGAAGGAGAGAAAAAAAAGGTCATGTGAAGTCAGGGAAACCTATTGACAAACGATTCCGGGATTCTCAAAGCCACCGTTTGCAGAGGGAAGAAGATTCAGATATAAATAGACTTGGATCTGGATGCGTATATTGTCAATTGATATCAGATAATACTGAACCATTTTATTGTGCTTAGCAACAGATTATATATCCCTGCTGCAGGTTCATTTGCAACCCCTACTCTAGCCTCATTACAATATCCTGAAATTTCTTGCTGTCCTGCTTACAAATAAGGTACCCACTTCGAAGTTACAAGACCGTGTCCTTCATGTCAGCAAGTCACAGGTGAATGCTGTGAATGCTCAACTCTCCTCCAGGTAAACTGATACACGCCTGTCAAAACCACACACACTTATTGCCAAGAAACCTGCTGCTTATCATAACAAAGAGATCCCTGTTGGGATGTTCAGCAGGATACAAATTTATAAATAAACAAACAACAAAACTGGAGATTTTGCCAGTGATTTTTGCTAAAGATGTAAATTTAATTAATTTTCTACCTGCAATTCCTCATTGTGTCCAGGCAGTTCCTCCCACATTTCCAGTTTTTCAAATTTTGCCTTCATAGACAGATGTTCCTGCCACCCTTCTTAGCTTCTCATCCTCGGGCATGTCAAGGAAAAACCATGAACAAAACCTTCCAAGATCTCCATGCCTTTCTTAGAAAAAGTTGTGCCAAAGTCACGGGACTCCAGTGCATCAAACCAGCTTTCTCCAAATTTGCAGACTTATGAACGGGCCTCATACAGGTGTTGGTCCCAGCAGGGTCCTTGCTGCCAGATCTTTTAAACTGGGGGTGCTCGGGCTGAGCCCAAGGCCTTTGACATGGGGAACACAGGTGCTAAATCTGAGGACAGGGACATCTGGGCCCCTCAGGGTTGGCCCGTTCTGAATATCACCTTCCCAACCCTGGTGTCCCTGGCTTCAGTCCCTGCTTGAAGATGGACCTCTGGAGGTGCTCGTGAGGACTTCGAAAGCCCTAAACGGCTTCGGACCTGCATATTTAGAACCTCCTTCCATAAACACATGCCCAACCTTTACTTATTTAATTGTATTACCACCCTGAGACACTGTGAAGGGTGGGATATAAAAGCTTTACGTAAGTGAATAGATAAGAGCTTCCCTGAAACTGAATGCAGCCCTTCAGATGGAAGGGATCCATCATCCGTAATGCAATCCATCAGAAGGTTCTGATGGATCAGTCAGCCTTCCCTGTGGGACAGAAGGATCAGAACTGGGCAGAAGCGCTAGTCCCACTTTGCAGACACGGCCACCTGCCAAGCACCTGCGTTTCCTGCCGCTTTCTGATAACCGGTCATGGACACCACCAAGTAACCACTGAAAATAGTAACAGCCAGCTGTTTCCAGGGACTGTCCAGCAAGTACACAAGGCAAGGTAACCCCAGTGTGGATTCTGAGCACATCATTCAGCCACAGACAGGGTTGCTTTGTACATTCTGGTTTCCCCAATCTGCCGCGAGTCAGTTGCAAATCGCTTGTAGCAGGAGAGGAGGAGAAAGGAGGAATTACTGGCCAAGAATTTTGTTTTGCAGAATATGCTGCTCACCGCGAATGTCAGTCACTGAAAATCTAACTCACTTAAAATGTGGTTTGGCTTAAAATGCCCCAACTTGGCATCTTCCTAATTTAATTCAGGAATTGGAGTTCTGTGCTACTTTATCTGCAACAAGGAGGGGAAAACCAGAGTTCATGAGGGGATGCTGAGATTTGTAGTGCAATTCTCTGGATGGCAGCAGGCTGGCTAATGGGTTTGGTGGTGACGTTTTGAACACTCCCTTTGAGACTTGGCGGCAAGAATTTGTGCGAGACCCCAGAGTTATGACCATGAAAGTATCTTCCATGCGGTAATATCCGTGGCAATGGGGGGAAGGCATCCCAACCTGATTTCCATTCCAATTCCCCCAAAATGCTTAACTCCCAGGCTGCTACAAAACTGCAGCCTGGGAGGAGGGCTGCCGCCTTCCCTAGCGTGAGAGAGCTCCACCGCTCCCGATCTTTACCTGCAAGGTGTAGTCTGGAAAGCACTCCAGTTTCAAAGAGGGAAAAAGTCGGGGTCTGCACAGCTCACAGGGGCAGGGTCCGTGCCATGGACTGTGTCTCTGATTTCTCTTGCCATGCAAATGGGGTTCCACAGCAGTTGATTTTCACCAACCACACGGTTGCTACTCAGACCAGAAATGGTGCATTTGATTTCCGCCAGCCCCGGTAATGGACAACGCAGAACACACATTTTGTGACATGCAGCTCCGTATTTTGCCATTCCCCCACCCTGCACAAACAGTTCGGTTGAGAGAAGCAGAGAACACAAACTATCGTGCCATTGCAACACAAGGAAACTTAACGTAAGGAAAGCCATGATGGATTCGACCCACGGGCCGTCCAGTGCGGTGGCCTAGGATCCCCCAAGCAGTTTGGGCGGAAGAGTTCCATCCACCCAAGATCCTCAGCATCTGGTGTAGGAAGCCACGTCACCCCCAGTGACGGAGGCAGCAAACTAGGAAGCGGCGACTTTCATTAGACTCTGCAGAGGAGCGGGGAGGAACCAGACGCAGCAATGGCCGCCGTGAGCTGTAGATGCAAGCTGAGTTTCTACGTCAGTCAGTGTGAAAGGGACTGGCCACCTCCAGTGAGTGAGAGAGCCACGGCCATTCCATCTACATAAATACGATTGATCCGATGAATACTGGATCGAAATTTGGTATTACTAGATTAAAGACTCAAGAGTCCGTGTGGCATCAGAATTAGAAAGCTGGAGATTTGGGTTGCCCTGGAACCCCCTGGGTGACTTTGGGCCACTCGCTGAGTCTCAGCCTAAGCCCTTCCTAGCCAGGGTTGCTATGAGGATAATACGGAGAGGAACGGATGCGTCGGTAAGCCTTGCTGGACTCCTCGGAGGAAAAGAGGCAAAATATGCATGCATGAGGACGGGCGGGCCTTGCCTGAGGACCAGAGGGCCCGTGGGAGGAAGCAGCTGGACTGCTGGGCTGCAACATGGGACATCGGGCTTCTAGTGCTTGTTCAGCCCTGACTCCCTGCACGACGTTGAGCCTTAATGCCAGCCCAGCCACCTTGCAGGGTCGTTGTGGGGATAAAACGAAGAGGAGTCCCACGTCAGTGGCCTTCAGTTCCTTACAGGGAGTGTGGGAACGGCAGGTTGTAAATGGAACAGTAAATACTGACACATTCAGTGGCTGATTTCCCAATACATGGGACTTGGGCTGGCTGTTCGCACACTGCAGAAAGGGAAAACGTTTTGGAGAGAAGCGGATTTCTTACCCTTTGCAACACATCCCCCCCTCCCTCCATCCCAAGCCTGGATCCTTGCAAAGCCGCTGCACGTTACTGGCATTCTGCTCGCTGGTGGGTGGGGATGCGCAGCGACGAGGGCAGAGCAATGCCCAAGCCTGGCTCAGGACTGCCTGAGAGCATCCCACGGCCGGCCGGCAGAGCAGCTCCACCTGACTCTCCCGAATCCAGTCATCTCCAGCAGCCTGGGAACCTGCCCTACCTTGACACGGCTCACGGCCTCCTGGGCTTGCATCATCCGGATGTTTTTGGAAGGGTTGCGCTCAGAGAGCAGCTGCGTGGAGCCCAGATAATTGGCCGCAAAGATGATGCCGTCAATAAGGTCCTCAGGTTCGCATGGTCCTGGAACTGAAAGCAAAAGGTCGTCAATTATTCCTCTCCGTGACGGAGGGACAGGCAGCTGGGGGAGAAGGGATAAGAAGGACGGTGTCATGTGCACAAGCTTCCCCTGCTGTGCTTTCATCTTCTGCAAATGCCTGCCGGGTCACTAAGAGGGTGGCATGACCACCACCACAAGCACTCAAGCAGAGCGTTTCGTTCCTGTCATGATGGGTCTGGGAACCAGGAAGCAAACGAAATGAGGAGGATGCTGCCCAGAATCCGTGGCCAGGCCTGACTTGGATTCCTTCATAGTTCCCTCTCCCTGGAAACTGCAGCTTCCTTCCTTCCAGAGAACTCCTTGAAAATATTTTGTACGCCGTGGTAGAAATGGCAATATTGAAACACTGGCTCATGAACGGCTATTTTATTTATATTTATATTGCTATTTATATCCTGCCTTTTTCCTACCAAGGGCTCAAGGCAGCTGACATCATCTCTCCTCCTCCATCTTATCCCCACAACAACAACCCTGTGAGGTAGGCTGGGCTGAGCATCTGTGACTGGCCCAAAGTCACCCAGTTGGCTCCATGGCTGAGTGGGGACTAGAACCCAGATCGCCTGAGTCCCAGTCCCACGCTCTTAACCACTATGCCACACTGGCTCTGTGCAAAGTGCTAGTTATTCTGGGTTTCTCGTCTGTTCCAAGGTGTTCCCCTGATTTTTGCATCCTTCCTCCTCTCAGATCAGGGATCTGGGAAAGCCAAAGTCCTCAAATGTTCTCTGTCTGCTATGAAGTTCAAGTCCTTTGCGGTGCTCTTAATGTTTTACGTTCTTTTTTATTTGATGCTTCCCCTGTTTGGTTTCTCTGTTTTGTGCAGTGGTTGGTAAATTCTAAATCATGCAAATTCCCTCATTCTATGGTGAGCATTTTCTTGCACAAGCTGGTTTTTAGAGCCATTCTTTTATTCATTTACTTAAAATGCAGATCGCTGCTTCAGCAGGTGTAGCAGCCGCTGATGCTCACACCCAACCATCTAATAAGATCAGAGCTAACAAATTAAAATGCAGTGAAGTTGGGGAGCAGCTGCCTTTCCTTGCAGAGGCCAGGTCTGCAGCGATTTACACCAGAGCTTTCAGTCTTCTCTTCCAAGCAAAAGTGTGCTCATTTTAGACCTCTGTGCAAATGCAATTTTCCATTTCCAGCCACCAAGGCCAAGGTTTTGCATTTTTCAGAAACATGGGTTAAAAATATAACTCGATTCTAATGTTCATTTCATGTGTTGTTGTCTTAACAGTATTGTTTTAATGCTGCTGCCACTAGAACTAAATTTCTGGCTCTGGACCTTACTGGTTAATTAATAAAAGATCCTTGGGATAATCTTCAAAATGAGGGATAATCTGCAAAATCTTCAAGATTTTGAGATAATCTGCAAAATCTTCCAGAACTGAGAGGCTTTATGCCACGTTCACTGTGCACAGAAAGCTTTCCACAACCCCCTGCTGCTTGCAGCCTCCCGATCCCAGCCCACTGTTGTGGGTCGCTTGTGTGGGTGGAGGAAGCCCCCTTCCCCATAGCAACAACAGGACAAACGCGGAAGCTCTGGATGTTCTCCTTGCAGTGGGAGCCAAAAGCTGTTCTGAGCAAGGAGGGGGGGGTAAGGGACCTGTGGAGAAGAAACCAACTGTCAAGATGGAAGTGGCGAATCCAGAGATGCGCTTAAGACAGCTCCCCTGAGGCTGAGAGCAACCACTTAAATCCAGTTTCCACCACACCTGCGCACACTCAAAGGCCAGATGCACAGAAGCCGAGTCAGGCCTAGCAGCACAGAGTTCTCTTCCTGCGCAATGGAGGGGGAGCCCTTCTGCTCGGGTAACAGGTAACGTGCTCCCTGGAGAGGTGCGCCTGGCGCCGAGTTTATATTCTTTTCGGCGCCAGGTTAAAACTTTTTCATTGAACTCTAATTTTAAAAATTAATTTGAATGTTAATGTTTAACAGTCGCTTTTATTTAACTTATTTAATTGGGTTTTTTTGATTAATTGTTATTTATTGCTGTTTTCTTGTGGTTGTTTTAATGATTGTAAGCCGTCCTGAGAAGTCATGCATAAGGGACAGCATACAAAAGCTTTAGATGGATGGATGGGTTGTATAGCCTTCCCCAGCCAGAAGTCTTGGATTGCAGCTTCCTCAGTATGGGCAGCCTCGGGAATTAAGCTACTTGCAGCCCAACACCCTTCCAGAGCAGCAAGCAATGTGCATTTTTAGCAATGAAAGAAGCACAATTAGCATCAGAGAGGAGAATTGTTGTCGTAATGAAAACTGATGATCAAACAGCCAGCGAGGTGCAGGGGCAAAGAGCGCAGGACTGGGGCTCAGGTGATCCGGGTTCGAGTCCCCGCTCAGCCACGGAGCCAACCGGGGTGGCTTTGAGCCAGCCACAGACTCTCAGCCCAGCCTACCTCGGAGGTCAGATTGTTGGGGTCAGACTGAGAGCATGCTGTAAACTGCACTGAGTTCATCGTAAGAGAAAAGGTGGGATATAACTCTAATTAATAAATTATACTAGATACACTGTTGGCCAGCTCTGCCGCATTTTGCACCCGGGCCTTTTCACAGGGACTGGGGCTCTCTCCCAGCCAGACTAAAAGAAAGAGGGAAGGCACCTGTGATGCCAGGCCAAGAGAAGGAGAGGCGAGATGCATCTAAGTGTGAACTTCGCAGCCTCCACTGACAACATAATTCCAAATGAGGATCAGTCACAGAGATAAATTTAATTTCATTAGTCCACTCATCAGTGCTGGTGATTAAAGTAATAATTGAAAGCCCCAAGGTGGGCGGGGGGGGGGTGCTATCACCATGCAAATAGGTCTGAGTAATATGTCTTGCAGCGGCTGACTTCTCACGCCAGTGCCGGCAGCCCGTTCTTGTTTTGGCCTGTAGCAACATCACATGTTGATTTCTATTCAGGGACGCTCCTATTTAACACACTCTCTGAAACGGCTGGAAGCAAGAAAGAAACTACCTGTGTGCCGTTTTTTTAACCTTCCCTAGATTTTGCTCGGGAAAGGAAGGGTTTACGTCAAATGCCTGATTCAGGGTGGAAAAGTCAAGCCTGCAGAATTGGAGAATTTGGGAGGTGACGGGCGTTGCGGGGCATTAATGCATGCCCAGTGCCCATGTCTGGACATCAGTGCTTCACAGAATAGTCGAGTTGGGTCCTTGGATTAGCAGCACCTGAGACAGTTCATTCTGTTGCATCCCATGAGGGAATCTCTCCCGTTGATGATCCAAAAATCTGCTTCCCTGCAATTTCTACCCACTAGTCCCCCCCACCCCCCAAAAAAGAAAATTATAAATGCCCTAATCTTTGTACTTCCGTGTCCTCTGCCTTCATTTTGTAACATCTAGTCCTGCCTTCTTTCTACTGGCTAACTAAATGAGCTAGAAAAACACGCAGAGGTAGAATTTAGAAACGCAGTAAGGTTGGAATGATCGAGGGTTAGCTATGCATCTAGCACATATATTTACTCCAGAGTAGCTGCAAGTATGGACTGAGGCCCTTGCTGTGGGATACCAGAGGGTTTTAAGAGCTGGGCCAAAGGCCCATTTTTACCCAGAGTAAAAATGAAAAGCTGCTACAAGCACATGCAGTGAGCTGGAAGGAGGAAGGCTTGGGAAAAGCAGGAGTGGAGTTTTATATGGAAAACTTTTGCTATGAAAACCAAAAAACAAACAAACACATCATTTCTGAGATGCCCTGTCCCTTAGCTCTAAGTCTGAGTCCACCTCTTTTTCTAAGCCGCTCTTTTGCACTTGGCTTCTGTCGGTGTGTCAAGAAACTAGACCTCATGAGCTTGAAATCTGCCTACCTTATAATCTGCTTTTGGAGCAGTTCCTCTGAACTCTTATCGGGGCCAAAGCAATTTTAGATTTGCTGAGTGGGAACATGGGCTCATGTGAACAGCTCAGCCCCCAACTGGCACGTGAGTGGAAGCCGGGGGTCCTTGGAAGGCCTCCGGGGAGGTTTCCAGCTGGCCTGCTTCGAGCAGGTCCCCGAGGAGGAGAACGACCCCTCGTCTCTTGCAGAACAGGCAGACGGTGCCCTGGTGGGCACCCTGGCCAGGTCCACACAACCAGTGCAGCCCACCTGAGGCCACAGTGGGTTGCGGCATGTGGTGGCCGCCATATTGAATGTGCGAGACGCAGCAGGTGGGTGCCGGGACTGACTGTGCTGTGCAAACCCAGGCATTGGGGCTTATGCACAGGTTAATTAACCCACAGAGGGCCTAGTATCTTGCAAGTATCTTGAGAGCCAGTGTGGCGTAGTGGTTAAGAGCACGGGACCGGGACTCAGACGGTCTGGGTTCGAGTCCCCGCTCAGCCATGGAGCCCACTGGGTGACTCTGGGCCAGTCACAGACTCTCAGCCCAACCTACCTCACAGGGTTGTTGTTGTGGGGATAAGATGGAGGAGGAGAATGATGTGAGCTGCCTTGAGCCCTTGGTAGGAAAAAGGCAGGATATAAATCGGAAAATAAATAAAGTCGCACGAAATGCAGTGGTCTTACCCCCCGATAATATTTGAGCTTGTTCAACTGTGCACATACACACAATGCAGCTTGCTGGAATACACACACACACACACAAACACACGACAATGAAAATGCACTTACCGTCAACAAAACTTGGGAAAGAGGAAACCTTCTTGGTCTGTGTGGGGATAAAAAATAGTGAGCTGCATAACTCTATAGCAACATTAACATAAATGCCATGCCAAAGAACAGTATTTTGATTTTGGTGAGGAGCAGAAATTGATACTTTTCTTCAGGGGTTTCTAGTTTTCCCCGTTCGCGGCTGCTAGATCCCATCGCTGCTCTGTTTCCAGGATTCGGAAGGAAAACAATTTTGTGCCCTGGGTGAACAAACGAAGGAAGCATCCCTTCAAAGTCACCTCTGTGATCCTGAATACGGCTTGCGACTGCCCTCAGAGTTGTTGTGTACGGCTTGCTGAGGCAGCCAGCAATTTTTATGTGCATTTTGCACATAAATGCACTTCTGCAACCTCTTTTGGGGTTCTTTTCGGGCCACTGGGACCTGGTGGTGGACTCAAAGCAGCCCAGTCTTGGAGCACTGAAGTGGCGTCCGATTTCAGGGTAAACTCCTGAAAGGGTTCCTAAGGCGATCAGAAATGAAAGGCCTTAATCTCCTATTCCCGGGGCCTGCCGATACCAAGGGCACTATCATCTGCACATGGCCAGAGGTACTCTCTCTTTCTGCTGCTTCACCGTCTTCATTAGCCATGGACATCCTTTCCCCCTCCAGAGAGCTAATTAAGGCCTTGCTTTGTAAGTCTAACTGCTATTTCCTGGATTTGGGGACAGAACAATCCCAATAAGCCAAAACAAAGAAATATGTTTAAAGAATAACTATTTATATCAAATGTTCTCTCTCCTTCAGGAAATTAAATCATCCATGGATTATAGCCTTGTCAGAAGATATAAAAGGCAACTCTCTCCAAATTAAAACTGGCACACATTGTGATATTCACACATTCTGACTTGTGCTTATTTTTATGCCAACCGAGATGCAAAGGAGGAAAGCAACGGTTGCCCGACTTTGCCGCATCTGTGTACTAGCTAACCCTTCCATCCCCAGCCTGGAGCCCTCCAAAGGTTGGGCCACAACACCCAGAATCCCCAGCAAGAATCGCTCTTTCTTATAGTCCAAAACCTCTGGGGGGCACCAGATCTGGGCTGGCCAAGCGAACCACTTAAGGGGACAATATGCATGTTTAGACAGGAAAAAAACGGGGACAAGATTCTACCTGGTTCCTTTCAAGGGAAACTGCACGATCGATGCCATTACATCAGCGGAGGGCAAAGCATTCAACTAAGTGGGTGAAATTATTACTTGTGAAGAAAAGGAGAAGAGATGTAATTTAATTTCTGTCTTTAAGGACAAACACTGTCGTTACAAGGATATCCCTTCTGTTAATCCTGAAGTGAGGGTCTTTAAGAGGGACCCGAGTGACTCCCTGGCATGTACACTTGGTTAACAGCCAGACTGGATAGAAAGTTCTGTAATCCATCAAGGCAACTTGACCTTGCAGAACATAATCAGGTTGCACTTGTGTAATGCAATCGCTTCCACAGGCGTGGATGGGACAGGACGGCCGTCGCTTGTGCTCGTTTGCTCGCCGCTCGCTCTCCATCTACAGGGTGGCTAATTCGGAGTCCCTGCAAGGTGCACCCGGCCAGTGGAGGGTTTCCCACCAGGGGCAGGATGGACCAGTGGCCCAAGCCATGGTGCTTGCTGATCTGGGACCCGGAGGGCCCAGCAACCGGTCCCACCTCTCCCATCTTTTGCTCCATGCAGCCCTTCTAGAATAAGCACCCACAGGTGTTTCTCCGGCTGAAAAACTCCGTGAGCCTTTTGAACAGCCCTTCTCCGGTTATGAGCCACATCCCCTTGCTGAGGATCTGTCAGTGGCAGCAAGCCTGGGCCAGAACCAAAACTGGGTGGGGCCACATTTATTTATTAAACTTATGTTCCACTTGTTTTCCCACTCTGAATTCGAAGTGGCTTACACTGTTCTGCTCTCGTTGCTCTCAGTCTTCTCTTTACAACAGCAACCCTGCGAGGTAGGTTGGGCTGAGAGTCTGTGACTGGCCCAAAGTCACCCCGTTGGCTCCATGGCTGAGCAGGGACTCGAACCCAGATTGCCTGAGTCCCAGTCCTGGGCTCCTAACCACTACACCACACTGCCTCGAGCCATGCTCTCTGTCTCTCTCCTCCAGAAGAATAGCAAATCGCTTCTGCCAGATGTCTGAGGCCCTCATTTCTGTTTCTAACTCTAAAATGGAATTTGACCCTGGCCTGAAATGAACCCCGCACGCCTTGCTGCTTTGAAAGGGACGTGGTGTCTGATACCAAACGGAGAAAATTAGAAAGAAAACCAGAGTGCAGCGTGCAAAATCAGGGTCCCAATACTTGCCTCTGGCATGTTATTGTTGTCAATCGGTCCATTGAGATCGGAACGTTGCTGCTTCCTAGGCTGTTCTAAGCCATTGCACACCTGTAAGGGAAGCAGAGGAGGATCAATAGCAGGCGAAGGAGATCAATGCTGGGATAATTTATCCCTGCTCCGCGCCAGTATCTTTACTGCTCTTCCCTGTGGAAACAGGAGCGGATTTATCCACGGACTGCTTGCGAGCACACACGGGAGCCAATAAACGATCAAGGGATGGTGTGGATAGGCAATTTGTCCTAAGCGTAAGTCCTGGGTTGTGATTGGATTCGGAAGGTGAGCGCTGGGCCACTTCCATGGAAGGTGCCTCAATCCCAGGAATGCTTTCCCGTCGAAAGGGGAAGAGAGCGGGAATTTAGGACTCTTTCCAGATGTCTGTGTGAAGCAGCCGGCCGTTTCTCAACCTCGCCCAGCTGCAGGCTGGTAATCAGAGGCCAAAATGAGAGCAAAGCCATCCTGTGCACCAGAGTTGACGCTAGGAGAGCTTGTTTGGGAAGATCCTTTCATTAATACTCCCCTCTCCTTGTCCAGGACTGCAGGCTGAGGATGCACTCAGAATCTGAGACCAGGAGGTGCCAGAGCTGCATCCAGGCCATGGTTCATCCAAGCTTCATCCTCTCCTGAGCTTTCTGCCTCCTTCTCTAGAAATTTATTTATTTATTTATTTAGGGGACTTCTATGCCGCCCCATTCACCAAAGCCTTGGGGCGGCTCACAAACCATAAATAAATAGAATTCAATAAAACAATATAAATTAACAATATAAATTAAGTCGCCCTGGCCAAAGAATAAAATGAATAAATAATATTAACAATTAAAATAACATTTGAATAAAAAGGTCTTTGCAGGGTGCCGAAAAACAAATGACGACGGCGCCAGGCGGACCTCTCTGGGGAGCGCATTCCATAGGTTGGGTGCCACTGCAGAGAAGGCCCTCCTCCGGGTACTCACCCTCCTAATTTCCTTCCCGGAGGGCTCCCGGAGAAGGGCCTCTGCCGCTGATCTCAAGGGGCAGGCGGGCATATAGAAAGAGCTTGGCAATAAGATTCCTGCTTGTACTGGGCTCCAGGCTGATGGGGGAACAATGCATTTGGCCTTTGGGCTGGTGAGTCAGTGCCTGGTCCTAGCAGGTCCCCTAAAGACACCGCTCTTTCCTTTGTATTGTTGGTTAAACTTCTTTAAAAAGAAAAGCCAACTCAAAAGCAATCCCTGTCCTCCAGCCTTCCTCGAAAGAGAGCCAGGAAGATGGGCCTCGGGCAGCAAGTGCTTTAAACTGGGCCAAACACTGGAGGCTGGGTTTGAAGTCAGAGCATGCATTGCATCTAGTCCAGGTATGGAAAGATGTTGAGCTTGAGCACGTCCTCTGATTTGATTTTGTGCTTGCATTAGGCCAGTGGGTGGAGACCGGTGCAAAACGATTGCCCCTGTGAGTAAAGTCACACACATACAGCCTTTCCTACATGCGTGCCCTACAGATGCATCGGTGAGCATCATGTTGGTCTACACACCCATCATCCCCAGTTAACATCTACTAATCTACACCGGAATTTCTAGAGTTCAAAAATTCTCACAAAATAATTCAGGGGAAGGAAACTCGATTTATCCTTGTTGAAAATAGGAAGCCAGAAACCTTTGTTGGTCTACTGCAAATGAACTGGTGATCAACCAGTAGATCCCAAGCAACCTTTGCCCCTCCCATGATCTACACTAGGTTCTCGCTGGCTTTAGCCTTCAATCCAATGACCACATGCCCTGTCCGTGGTCCTGAAATCTTGCTCACCAGAGAGCTTCTGGGCAGAGAGTTGACTTAATGTTAGTGTTTTTTATTAATTGTTTATCCAAATTTTATTTAGGAAAGTAAGCCACCTGGAATATACCTGCCATTCTTCTGCAGGAGAAGCAGGTGCCCAACCACTAAGCGATGGCTGCAGCACACAAACCAGCACCTTTCCCATAGGCCTCCACCTTTGGCAGGTGAGGAATTAAGAGATTTGTGCTATTCCCAAGCATGGGCAGAGCCTTATCTTGCTAATAAGGGTCATAAATGCTATTTACAGGGAGACGAAATCCCAACACATTGCACAGCTCTGCTCATACAGTGCATCAAGCATCCAAGTGCTGCAGAAGCTGGAATGATAATGCTGGAATGCAAGGCAGCTGTACATTGAGGGTTCTGACACTGCCAAATGGCATGCGAATTATTTCAAGCCCCAGAAATTGGGAAGGCTTTGTGCAGATGTGGGTTGGCTGCAGGGAAAGGAAGATGCGATCTGCAAGGAGGGATGGCAGCCCATCAACCGCCGGCTGTGGGCTGTGAAGCAGACGCTTCTGCTCCTTAAAGCCTGCGTCAGGTCGGATTGCAATACCTTTGGAGGGGCAAGGAATGCTCCCCCAGACCAAAGCGATTCTCACACACCAGCTGGGCTAGAATAGCTGGCCGGCATAAAGAAGCGTGTTTGCGACCCAGTCAGCAACTGGGGTTATCTCCCTGAATGGTGAAATTCCAACATTTATGAGGTCCTTAGAAACACCCCAAGCCCAGTGCTGGGAGGCAGCTGTTCCCAATCATCCATGGCATTCCCACACAGGATTCTGGGCAAAATGGACCTTCAGGCTGACTTGGCAGCGCTGTGCTTAAGCTCTTCGGAGAATATTTATTTTTATTTACTTTATGTTAACTTTTCTAGACCATTCTTTTCCGAAGTCTCGGGATGGTTTAACAATACAAAACGTAAAATACAAGAGAGTGTCCTAAAAATTCAACTAATACTAAAATCCCAATTAAAACAGTCAGGTCTTAAAACATTGGGAAAATGAAAAGGGCTTGGCCTGGCGCCGAAAAGAATACAATGGCGGCGCCAGGAAAACCTTCCTGGGAGCGAATTCCACAACTGGGCAGCACTGCAGAGAAGGGCACGTGCCCGCAGGGCAGGCTGGTGGCGCCGAGGCCAGTGGGCCGGTTTCAGCCTTCAGTCTGAACTTTACTGAAGGGAGCTCTCCATGCTTCCAGGCGCTGAAAGACACTTTTGGAACTGACTCCCCAGGGTGAACCGACCACCACATTGGCATCGGAGTGACCTGTCTCCACTGCTCAGAGTCATCCCCACAGAGATGTGCAACCTCTGGCCCACCACCCAGATGCAGCCCGCACGGCCTGCCTGGTTTCTCCAGGAGGCAGAGCTTGGTCAACGGGGGACGCGGCTGCTTTTCCCCGGGTCTAAGCCCTGGAGAAGGCCACGATGGGCAGGACAAGATCTGCAGCTGAGCTGTGCTTGCAGGTGCCATCCAGTCCATGGGTGCCTGGAGGAGACTCAGTCTTGCGCCCCAAAGCAGTTCAGCGGTCCTCCGTTGTCACTGGACGGCACGTCCCCAGCAGTTCTGCACGGGCCTCTTGCCCACTGAGGTCAGGAAGGCAGCAGGAATGACTCTGACCATTCCGCCAAACACTCCAATTTCCAGAGACTTTCCTGCTACGATTTTACAGATCTGGTTTGAGATATAGTGTTGGAAGCTTTGACACGTTTTCCCTTCGTGTGTTCCCCTCCAAAATCTCCATACTGCAATGTGGAGCGGGGTATAGAAATGAATAGACAATTCTGTAAGGTCAGACAATCCTATTAACTGGCCACATGCAAGGTGGGCCTAAAAGGAAGGATCCCGCCTCTGTACAACGCTGCAACAACTTACTGTGAGTTACCGAAAAGCTATGGTTACCGTAGGCATGCTGCTCCCTGAGCCTCTCAAATTCCCATTTGTTTAACAAAGCACAATTCTAGTCCTCATGCTCAGACATGAACAGCGATACCTGCTGAAGGTCAGTGGGAAAACACCTCCAGAGATGGGAAGAACAATTTTAATTTTCACTGCTTCCGCCCTGACCACAGAGCCAGCAAAACCAGAACTGTGCTACAGACTAAAAAGGGCAGAATTACATAAACCGATTATATAAACTTATATTATGTAAATCGGCTCAATTTGCATAATTTAGACAAGTCACGGAATCCAGTGAGAAGCGCCACAGAATTTGGACTGCCTGAGTGGACCTGTCAGTTCTTCTAGCGGGAAGCATCCACAGACTGGCCCAATCCAAACAGGGCCACCCCGGGTGGCAATCACTTGCCTAGCCTGCTTCGAGACCAGGAATATGGCTCTGGCATCCCCTGCTGACGTCGTCCACTTGTCCCCAGTGGGTTTGATCCCAAAAGCACTGTCTGTTCATGAGGGACTCTTGGTAAGCAGAGCACACTGGCTTAAGTAAATGGTTCGCATTCCTTGCTGCCTTCAAATCCTGCTTCTCATCCAAAGAGACACCCCTGGAGTGACTTGCCTTCGATCAGGGCAATAAGGCTTTCCATACCCACAGGCTCAGACTCAAAAAAGATCCAGCATGCAAGGAAAAGGGGACGGGGAAGGAAGACGGGGGAATCAAGTCTTTCAGCCCTGTTTCCTCCTCCGTAAATCCACTCTAGGTTTCACCTCAACATTGCACAGAACCTGGGACAGAATGAGGCATGGTGGCACTTGTTGTGGACACATATTTGCAGGCCCTGGGGGGCTCTTTCCTCTTTGGTCCTGCTTTTTGAGGAGTGGACCCATTCCCCTTGCTTGTGAGTGACTGGGCACCGTTACTGCGCGTATGCAGGGACAGAGGCGGCGGCCGTATTCTAAGGCAGCCCGTCCTTCTCCGGCTCTCTCGCTGGCAGCCAGTTCCCAAGGACTGCCCCAGTGCATGCCAGAGATGCCCAAAACTGGACATGGGGCCCATCACAGACCAAGCTCTGCTCTGCCCCGACCAAGGAACACCGGCGGAGAGGGCCTCATGCGGAGTCAGATCCTGGCTCTGCATTGCTTGCACCAGCCGTGCCCCATCCGGTGTCCGCCTCACGTGCTGCCACTGACTCCCAGAATGCCCAACCAGTGGCTACTGGCTGCGGTCAGGGTGAGCTGAAGCCCAAATTGTGTGGAAGGCTCCAGCTTGGGGAAGGCTGCTCGGCGCTGGCTGGCGCTCAGGAGATCTGGGAGGACTTTCTCACACTGACCTGGAGTCCCCGACAAGGAACGCTGGACTTCTGCACGCAGGCAGGGGCTTGGGCGAAGCTGAGCATGCACGTGCCCTGCTTGCTCAACACGAGTGAAGCCCAACACGTAACACAACCGGGATGCGCTGGGGCTGTTTAATATGCATGATTTCAGCCACACTTTCTCCTTCTACTTATAAAAATAGACCGAATTCTCTCTCTCCCCCACCTCTCTGCTTATGAAATGTCAACCCCGTTCTCAGAAAAACAGAATCATCATCAGCTGACGCTGTCACGGCACACAAACCCCATGCTCAAGCTGGGCCTAAACTGCCGCGTTTGAAAAAGCAGACAATATTTTTCACTTCCTCGTGGTGTTTTGTTATTGCTGTTTGTTCCAATCAAAAATTAATCCCTCTGCTGAAGATGTGCTTCAGAGACTGCAGAACACAATTGTGTTGCTAAAGAAAGAAGCTAGCAGAGGATTAATAGCAAAGAATTAAGAGGGGAGGAAAGGAAGCCTTACATGGTGAGTTTGGCTTTTTTGAAGGTGGAATTGGCCACGGTCTGCACTTGTGGAAAGAGAGCTATGGATAGGCAGCAGGATCAAGGTGGAGGACAGAGGCAAGAAGCCAACGGGAAATGCGACCAGGCGGCGAATCCAGAACACCAGGAAGTCTACAAAGCTAAAACCAGTGGCTTTGTCTGTACTTAATACAACCCACAAGGTGGGTTGTTGCTGTACCAAGGACTTGCTGATCAGTAAACCACAGGTTGTTTTCTCAGTTCCTGGACTGTTGGGTCACCCCTTCCTTTGTCCACTGCCTTCACGTATCCCAAATGCCTTTGCAACATTTTGGAACTGGCATGTAAAGCCGGCAATGTTTTTGCTCTAACCCGTCTTGCCTGCCACCTCTGTAGCCTGGCAAAGCAACCTATGAAGAAGCTGCAGTTCAGAGTTCACATGTAACAGGAACCCATGGTTTGAACAACCCAGAGTTCACAAGCTCACAACAAAACGTAGGCTCACTGGCTGGACTGTTTGTGCTCTGGAATCTGCCTAGGTATGGAGTGGCAGACAAATACAGTAAAAAAAAAAACCCAAAATATTGTTTTAATGCATATTGATGCATAAAAGAAACAGAGTCATGGGCAAAGGTGACAAGCACCAGGTATATTTGCCCACTCCAAGCAACAGCCGTACCTGCCCGTGCAGCACCAGTGAATTGCACCCTAAACACAAAGCAAAAAGTAAACAGTATACCATAAACTACTAGCTAACGCTGCTGCATACAGGTATGGAAAGGGCTTCCACAGGAGGTGGTTGAGGCCCCATCAGGGAGGGTGTTCAAGGACAGGCTGGACATGCACATGGTGGGCGTGTCATGAGCAGCGCTGGCTGAAGCTGGGGGTCAGACTAGATGGCCTGGGAGACCCCTTCTGACTCGCTCTGTTTCTATATTGTCCTAGTTATATGTGGCCCATTTAGCTAAACAAAGATTTTGCTATTGGGAAATGTTTCTGAATGCATAGGCTGACAAGTGTGGCTCTAGTCAGGTGTTCTAGTTCTGCTTTTTGTCCACATATTTGGGGGGGGCAAGGAAATCGTACCAGCAGCGGAGGTCGAGACGCAAGGCCAGCAACACAGAGGGTCCGCTCCAGGCCAACATTCGAGCCGCTACTCATCGTGCTGAACCTACTGCTGGCGTGGGCAGAGGGCAATCGCGAATTCAGCACCACAGACAGCTCCTTGAATGGCCACGATGGACACAGGAACCACCACTCCTCTCTCCAAAGCACACCGGGGGTGGCTGAGAATGATCTCCGGTTCATTTCCCGATAGAAACCGCCAACGCTCATCAAGTGGGTGCTTGAGCTTTTAACAAACGGGGTTGGAGAGAATCATAGAAGAGTCAGAAGGGGCCATGAAGGCCATCAAATCCAACCCCCTGCCGTTGCAGGACACCAAGTGACACCGGCCCACTCAGATGGCTCTCCAGTTTCTTTCTGAATGTCCCCAGTGTGGGAGAGCCCCCCACCTCTCCAGGCAGCTGGTCCCACTGTTGTATTGCTCAGTGGGAGAGCAAAAGGACAGATCCCTCCATCTGGGCCCAGGAACCTGCTTGTCTTCAGCCATGACTGGAGTACTGGATTAGGGGTCCTACCTCTGTTCTTTTCCTTCCAGGCTAGTCAGACCAAGTGCGCTACCACCCCCCCCCACCCCGCGGTCTTCCCCTTGCAGCCTGAACATTCCTCTGATCCCCAGGAATTCATGTTGAGTCACTGCTGTGCGTGGTGGAAATGCTGCCTCTGTTGGGTAAAGCTTCAAGTGGAAAGAAAAGGCATCAAAATGCAATCACAGCTTTAATCGCCTTTAACAACAAAACAAGCAAACAAACTCAGAGAGGTTTCCCATGGGCAAACAAAACAGAATTTGAGGGCATGGATTTTACATTCTCCAGCTGAGCTCGGGGTTAGAAACCCAACAGCAGGAGCCTCAGATCTTAGAACCATTCCAGAAGAGTGACCCTACCCTTGCAGATCAAGTACATTTAACTAACCCAATGTACAGTGCGGCATTCGCATCTGAGCAGTTTAATGAGGCGCAATCCTGATTGTGTAAAAGGCCAATATGGAGAAATATCAATTGCTGGAAAGCTCTGCCTGCCTGATGCTAGAAATGCTGAAACACTGGCGCGGCCCACCCTTCGTCGGGCATTTTATCCAAAGGACCAGCACCCGCCTCACAGCAGCATCAATCCCCTGTACAACCCAGCCCATCTTGAGGGACATTCTCCCAATTGGATGCTGACAGATTCCCCAGTCTTAGTCTATTAACATATTCTCTCTCTCTCTCAACTTTCCAACAGTCCTTTTTTCACCTGTGCTGGCAAAATAATTCCAGCAAAGGCTGGAGGGGAGAGAAACAGTGCCGCATCGCTGCAGAACGCTTGCACATACGATCCGGCACCCTTTGTAGCCAGGGAGAGGGGCAACCACATACCTGTTCTTGGGGCCAGGCCTGCCTTTCCTCTGGGGTCCTCAGCTTGTTCTTGAAGCCTCGGGGGGCCTCCCCGACTTGCTTGGGCACAGGGGGAATGTTCAGTGACTTGGGCCGCCCCGGGTGCCTGCTGACGCCGTGGCCAGAGTCCCCCCTCGGACAAGTCTCCACATAGTCATTGGGCACATTCTCGGCCCCACTGTGCTCGGGACTCATCTCTGACGCACTGTGGAGGCTGCTCATGCTCATCTTAATCTCTGCCACAATCTGGTCGATGTCTTCCTCTTGCTCCTCCAGCTCCGCCTCTTCTTTCCCGGGACGGTACAGAGACATCCAGTGCGAGTTCCCATTGGCTTCGGGCGAATAGTACCCCTCGTAGCCTTCTTCACTTGGATGGCAGTACTGGACGTTTTCCTCTTGGTCTTGGATCTCCAGGCACGCCACCTCTCCTTCCAAAACCTGGACACAACCTTCGGGGTAGCCCGCAGCTTCTATCGCCTGCAGCTCATCCTGGCACTGCAGTTTCGTCTCTCCCCACTCGCCTTCTTCGACAGCTTCTTGGCACTCGTCCGTCTCCACCTGCTGCTCCTCACGGGGGACATACTCTTCCCCGTTGCAGTCCATCCCTTCCAGATAGCTGTCATCCTCTGGGCAGTAGCGAATGTAGTACGTGATCCCTTCCTCCTCCTCCGGAAGACCCTCGTCGTAGTCCTCCTCTTCAGAGGTGTTGTTCACGTAGTCGGAGCTAGAGTCTCCGTCGCCGCTGTTGTCGTTGCGCTCGTGGTCCACCGGGGAAGGGCTGCCTTGTCTGGCCGGCACGGCATCGGCCTCCTTCTCCAGGCAGTCTTCCGTGGGCGAGCTATTTTCCTCGCCTTCAGCCGCCCTGCCGTGGGGCGAAGCAGGACAAGCTCTCGCCCGGTGGTCTGGCACTCCTGCTGCGACGTTTTGACATTTCCTGCTTGCCATGGCTGACAACTTAGATGACGATCATTGCTGAACGATGGCTGAAAGAAAGGTGGAAACACAAACAAAGAGATCAGAAGGGTCCTTTGTCCAAAGGTTGGCAATAGGAAGCTCTAAAATGCTAATTTTAATTTTTAAGTAGGTGGGGATCATAACGAGGCCCTATAAAACCTCCCATCCAAAAAAGGCATCCCAGCATAACGAACTTCCACAAGGACACTTCAGTACCATGTCAAAAGGCCCCGAACTAATTGGTGGCTTCTCTTCTTCCTTTGCACTGTATTCTAATTTAATGTTTTAAATATATGTACTGCATGTCATATTTTAACTGCTACTGTGGCATTTTAATCTTTTTAAGGGTTTGTCATCTGCCCAGAGAACTTTAGTAATTGGGCAGATTAAAAACATAATCAATAACTCCTCTGAACTGTAGCAAAAGGGCCAAAGATCTGTTGAAAATTTTTCATCAAGGGAAGGGGAGTCAAAATGAGAGCATTTCCATAAACATCCTTGTTTGGCAACCACAGTTCCTCTAACCTATTCAAAAAGAAAATGAACCCACTTTTTTTTAATTTTTATTTTCTGATTTATATCCTGCCTTTTTCCTACAAAGGGCTCAAGGCAGCTGACATCTCCTCCTCCATCTTATCCCCACAACAACAACCCTGTGAGGGAGGTTGGGCTGAGAGTCTGTGACTGGCCCAAAGCCACCCAGTTGGCTCCATGGCTGAGTGGGGACTCGAACCCAGATTGTCCGAGTCCCAGTCCCGTGCTCTAACCACTACACCACACTGGCTCTACACCCACTTCACAACTGGCTGCCTAAGTGAGTCTATTTCGCTTCTTACGGCTGAATTTACTTTCCGAAATCCTGCACTTGGTTTCCTAAAACTAGACCATTTCAACTGCCCCAGAGCAGCACATTATGTTCATCCTAAAACCCACCCACTGTTTGTGGCTAGGAGTGGGTTCCGAATCTATTCTGGGCAGTTTCCATTTACACATTTAATCTATTTTCACCTACACATGTGTGACAGGCCCTTATTCTGAATTCCACATCACTTCAAGCCAGTAGAATTGATTACATTCGCTCTGTACCAAATCCTTGGGTGTCTCCAATGTGTCAGAGAGAAACTTCCTTATTTGAGCCTGACAGGTTTCATAGACAAAAGGGTTATTTTATAAAGATATTTAATATTTCTTCATTGTATAAAGGTTTATTTTATAAGATCACCTTCTTCATTAAGCCAATTGCATAGCAGTCAAACATTAAACACAAGCAAAGCCAGCTTACAAAGGTGATGGCTTGCATCAAGTCCTGAATGTTGGACTCAAATGGAAAACCTTCTTTTTGGAACCTTTCAAGGTACACGTTCCATCGATGTTTGGGAGCTCCTGTCTGGACCGTGTGTGTGCAAAGCGTGCGTCGTACGGCTGCTTTGCGTGGAAACGTTGGTCACCCACCCCAATATTGTCTGGTTAACCTCAGCCCACCAAGATCTGAAGCCAAGTGAAGCTGGGATCTCGGGACAACAGAGCACTTTCCCTGACCTGGCTACTCCCCTCCCCTCCACCTATTTTGGGTAAAAACAAGCATTCCTTTTATCTTATTATCATTGCAGGCATTAATGTGAGCACACGGAGCTGAAGCACATTTGCACTAGCAGAGGGGGCGAGATCCAAAGAAAAACGGGAAGTGGACAGATGGCTTTCCCAAAAAATGAAAAAGAAAGACGATCGAGTCTGTGGCCCAGAGATCTCCCAAGCACAGAGTCTAGATGGCAGGTCGCCCTCGTCCGGCACACAAGCCCGTGCCTGGAATGAATACACCGATCGCTGGTGCGTTACAGAAAAGACTGTCGAAGAGGGAGCAAGACAACCTGGACCAAAGGGAATAATTATCATTACAAGGTTGGGAAAACCGGCACGTTAAAAGGATGTTTCAAAATGTCACTGCTCTGGGAATAGCTACTCACTCATGAAGAGATTGTACGGAGTGTTCGTATTAAATCAAGCCGTTAAAAGTGCCATTAGAGGAGATATTGATTTATCACTATGAATGTGATTAAAAAGGAAGAATTGGCCATACTTTCTAATGGAGAATACTAATTAAACTGCGAGTTGCTGTGATAGTTAACATGCTACCTAGCCCTTTAATCCTTTTCAAGTTGGCAATGCTTGCAAATTGATTCCTCCTTCATTTAGCATGTTACGGGTGTTGCTTGATGTCAACAGTAGGATAAGGACTTCTGTTTAGGACTGCCCCTAATTAAAGAAACTTGAGCAGGTGGATCAGTCAAGTTTGTGCAGCGGTAAGAACAATCGCTCTAAAACGGTAGTAAACATGCTTGCTGTTCACCCATTGTTTTAAACTACAGCTCCCATCAGCCCTGCAAGCACAGCCAATCCTTAAGAACAATGAAGGTGTAGTCCAAAACCAGGACGCCTACTCTGCCACCAGGAAAAACCTTACACGTTCACGTAGCATCAGTTCTACATGCAACGAAGAATACCACTTTAGGAATTTTGCCAGGCCTCGTGCAAAGATCCACAATCCTAGGGGGACATTTTTCCCATGCCCCTGAATAGTCTGCCCTGCACTAATTGCACTAGAGAGGACTTAGCTTAATGCTTAATCCTGCCCTACACTGTCATGGAAATAGTAGTAGTCCAGGCCCTGTAGGAGAACAAGCTTCCTGGGTCTATGAGGCTTGAGAAATACAGTGTGGCGGAGGGGTTGAAATGGTGGACTGGGCCTTGGGAGGGCCGGGTTCAAGTTCCCACTTGGCCACTGGGCTCGCCGGGTAAAAATAACGCCATGAAGATGGAAAGGATTTCCAATAATGCAAAAGCCACCGAAGGAATTCTAGTTTACTGTATCCCTGGCCCCTGCAAATAAATGCATGGCAATTAAAAGACTTGGATTCATATTGGTCTGAAACGCATGGACCATGCCTCCCAACTAGAAAAGGGAATCGATGCATAATTTGAACTGTCATCTGATTGCTTTTCAGCCAGTTTAAGATGCAGAAATGAGGGTCTCTCTGAGGTTTTACAGGCTCAAGACAAAGGGCCTTATCAATAGCATTTCATAAACCTCCACCGCAACAACAAATTCAGCGGTTTTCTAGCCAGCTCACTTTTTCTGCGTCTGCCAAACGGCTTCCAGACCATCAGGCAGAAAGCGGGACTGAAATTAAGAAATCCAAACAGTTCCAAAGGCGTCCCATGTCCTCCCCATTCATTGCAGGACGCTCTACCAGTGTAGCAAATTACAAGTTTTCAGATCACTTTTGATTGCTCTTTCTTCACCTTTTCCTTTGGGTGCAAATGAGTGAGTCCTGGAAGCAGTGCTGGCGAAGCACCAGCTGAATGTGCTTTTAATACCTTATCACTGTTCTCAGTCTTGTACTTTTATTCCAAAATACCTCCTGTTCCTCAAGCATTATTCTTTCACTGGATGGCCTATCCAATTCAGTACTGAACTCTCTCCGATGACAGGAATCCTAGAAAAGTTTGCTTCTGTCCTGCTTTTAGCTGGAGGCACCGGCAGACACTCCATCAAACGCAAAACAGAGTTGCACCGACCATCTTTTTTCTCCAAGATATATATTTCTGCTTTAATCTCTGAGCAACGGTTACCATATTTAGTTGTATGTCAAAGCCAGTTATTAAAATGAGCTTATCGCTTCTTAAATGATGCTTTGAACAGAACGTAATGGATTCAGTCAGCTAATCATGTGCAGAGAGGGGGACTTCCATAGATCTGCAACTGGAGTAAATCTAGAGTTTTAAAAGAGTTGTTACATTTTTAACAAGGGAAAGGAAAAGAAATGAAGGGGCTTCCTCAGCCATTTCCCGAGCTATTAGCCCCATCTGCATATTTTATCATGGAGAATGCTACAGGAATTTGCCTTGCATGTGCATGAAGGGGTGGATATTAACTCTCTTCATTGCAAAGCCACCTGGGAAGATTCTCTTGGCTCTGCCTCTGCTATTCAGAAGACCCTCCCCAGAGACGCCCACGGATGTGCACTGAAGGTATCTCAGTCCCTCACCCATCTTTACCAGTCGAGCATCCCAGGAGTTTACAGGAAAGCAGAAAGTCCAAGGAGCTCTCCAGCAGCGGAAGAGAGGCTGGCTGGAATCACGGGAGGACCTGACCAGAAGGCCTCTAGGCCAGGCGCATGTGTGCACAGAGGCCGCACCTTCCGCGGCAGGTGCCCCCCGTGTCTTGGCCTGCGACTCCCATCATTTCTCACCGCTGGCTTCGCTGGCTGGGGATGACGGATGTCGATGACAAACACATGTGAAGAGGCAGAATTTGTCTATGCCTAGTTAAAACGTTCGGCTTGGCTGTCCGACCTTTCCCGTTGTATTGATGGGGCCATGACCGGGACTGCGGAGCCCCAGTCGGGATCCTGATGTGGGACACCTTGTGCTCGCCCCATGGGGGCTATTGATCATCTCCATTCTTGAGGCCTTTCAGCTAAGGAAGGGATGGATGTCCGGAGTCGGACAGTCATCTCCCTAGCAGGGTGCATCAGGCCCTGAATTCTACAGGCCCCCGGATGATGGGGGTCTTGGGCAGATTGTGTGCGAATGCCATGGGAACTCCCAGAGACATGCTTGACCTGCTGGGGCCTTTCCCAGTGAACACGTGCCTGCCGTCGTGAGCAACGAGCGATCAGAAGCATTTCAGGACAGCCAAAGTGGCAGGGCGGAGGTGGGAAGTGAGCGCCACAAAGCAAAGTCATTCCTCTGAATGCAAATCAACATGCTGCTGCAAGAAAGCAGGTGGCTTTTCAGCTGGCCGGCTGGCCTTCCTGATTAATACTACTACTAATATAGTAGTAGTAGTAATCTTGATTTTCAGAGGAAAGTAACTTCAAAAGCAGTGCTTGAGCTCCTGGACACAAGCGCCGGCATAAGAGTTAGCATTGTCAGCCTCAGCGGAATGCAAAGGCAAGGACAGGCTGCGGATGCTAACTGCTAAGCTGGCT